GGCACCATACAAAGTTGTTCATCTCCAAAGTGCTCAATTTGATTTTTATTATTTTATATTCCTAAATTTTTGACAATTGTGCATCAGGGGGCTTTCAAGTTAGCTGAATTCTATGGAAGCTTCCAGCATCCTGCTCCTGGCGAACATTTTTGCCTGTTGAAAGGATCCTGCAGCTACAGGCAGACTCTGACCATCTACCAACAGGCTCACTGTCAATCCTGAGCTATGTGATGACTGTAAAGTGGCCTGAGTTTTTATATATCTTGTGAGACCTCTATGGGAACACAGTCATAACGATACAGCAGTTCCCATCTTGAGTACTGTTGATAGTACTGTTGACTGATTTTATTTCCTATTAATATGAACTAGATTCTTGATGACCCAAAACAAACATTCACACATTCCTCGTTTCATGTAAAAGCAAAACTTCAAAACGTAGATCAAATAAACCAAGATCTGTTATGCTTCTGTGCACTCTTGTAACAGGTGAAACAGACAGGACTCTGTCAACTTTGACATGTTGGATGACCTTGAGAATTCAGTGATTTCCTATGTCCTAGAACAAAGGTTAGTGGTTGTCAGCAGAAACAAGGCATATATACCACTGCTAAATACTACTGCTAGTTCTAAAATATATATATTGAATTGGCTCACACTTCATTTTTTGCTGCTACCACCAAAGTCCAAGCCATCATGACACTATCACTGACATGGACTATTAACTAGTCTCTTTGCTTTCATTCTAACCCCCTCCACCCATTTTCTACACTAAAGCTGGAGTTGTCTCATAAGTGAATTGGACCATGTCATTCATCTGCTTAAAACTTACCTGTATTTCTTCTCATCTCAGAGAAAAATCCAAGCTCATCACCATGGACTAAGAGGCCATATGTGATCTGGCCACTGTCTGACTGTCCCATCTCATGTTTTACTGCTCTCCTCTCCCTTATAATAATCTGTCTACGCTAGCTCTCTTCCACCTTATAATGATCTATCCATACTGACTTTTCTGTTTCTTGAACACAGGGCCACCATGTGCAGACATGCAGGTTGTGCACTGTGTAACTCCAGGAGGGGCATTCAGTAGGCTGCAGGGTGAATGATGCCCCTGGAAATACACAGCATGGCAGCCCAGCTTATACATGCTGTGCTCTTCCCCACTGCAAGGTCTTGGTACTTGCTGGTGCTGCTTGGCAATCCATCTGCATGACTGGCTCTTTCTTGTCATCCACTGAACAAATATTCCACAGAGCACTACTTATAGCAAGCAGAACTGGCTACATAATTTGCAGAACCCAGTGCAAAATGAAAATAAGCTCAGTCTCAGCTTAAATGTCACTTTTCCAGAGGGGTCCTTCCTACCCAGCTAAGCCAAAGGAACCTTGATCAGTGTGTGAAGGCAAGCTAAGGACTCCCTCTCCTTTCCAGGTTAAAACATAGCAGTTTAAATTGCAGTTGAAACAAGGATCCTTGGTTCCACTTGCACTGTGATTTTAGGCTGAACATTCAATCAACATAAAAGGTTTTGTGTTTCTCTTTAATGAGGTTTTGGGCAGGTTCTCATATTTCTATAAATTGGCCTTCAAGGCAATGACAGGCCTCAAGCCAGGGAGAACTTCGGTATACAAAGATCAAAAAGGCTCCATTACAACATTGTAAATTGAAAAATGATACTACGGTTGGATTTTTTCTAATAAAAAACAACAATGCACATTTTATGGAGATAAAAATTTCATATATAGTAATGAATTCAATTGTATTTCAAAGTTTAGTAGAAATTACACAGTTACCAACTGGCTAGCACATATTTTCCTCTGCCTTTGGAAGTTCAAGTTTTTGCTTTTATGAATTAAAACAAAATTATTTAAGTATAATTTTATCCTTGAAAAGTCAACATTTTGTTGCTTGTAACACTGTGAACTCACTTATTTAAAATACAGTTAGTTCAATATATATTTATTGCCTTCATTCTCTAAGACATTTATTCATGTTGGATGACAAATTTCCAAGTATGATATTTGACTCAGAAAAAAAGGATGCAGAGAATAGCTTCTTTAAATATGAGATCTTCTCACCTTGTTTTTTTTTTTCTTCTTCTCACCTTGTTATGAGTTTCTCTCCTACTCCCAGGAATTCAATACACTCTGCCTGAATAACAGAAGAAGTAAAAACTTTAAGGATCTGTGACAGCAAGATAAGGCAAGCACATGTAATTTTCAGAGAGCCTACCATTCCCACCATCATCCTCTGACGAAGCAACACCATATGGGGCCTCAGATATGGTTTTCTGAAGTGAATTAGCCTTGGGTTACTGCCAGAAGCAAACTAGTAAAAATGCGATTCCTAAAAGCACTCGTAACCAAGGGAGAAACAGTTTCTGCCCCAAATTTTTGCTAATTTTGTAAAAGCAGACATTTAAAAGAGAGAGAGAGAGAGAGAGAGAGAGAGAGAGAGAGAGAGAGAGAGAGAAAACAGCCCTAAGAATGAAAGGAGTTTATACTTGTGTGATGTAAAGAATGAAAGAAAAAGCTAAACCTGCATACGGTGCCTCACTCAAGACAGCTTGTCTTAGGCTATTATGAAGGAGGCAAACCCCACTTCCTGCCTTTTTGCCCCACTTGCTTCCCAAAGGGTGTCCGATAAACTCATCTATACTAAAGTATAAATGACTAATAATGATTCATGGATTACCTTCTATAGTATTTGCTTTAAATAGGGAAATAGATCTTTTCCAAATGGCTGAAAGTTGAAAGTTTTTGTGGTAGAATTTCCTCAGAGCCTAGCAGTCAACCACAAACTAGTCAGTCTTGAGAGAGTTATCTGTTTGCTAGTCTTTCTCATCACTCAGTTGTAAAGACAAGACAGAGAGCTCCCCCAAATCTCTCACCCAGTTACTCCTAATATCAACATTTTATATTATTATGGTACTTTGTCGAAACCAAGAAACTAACATAGGTCCATTACTATTTTTTGGCGCTCTGGACTTTAATAGGGCTTCACCAGCTTTTCCATGTTTCTGTTTGATCCCACTGTCTTTTACACCCAGTCTCAATCAAGCTCTCATGCTCAGAATTCCACAAAAACAGCTCCTGTCAAGGTTATCAGTGACCATCTTTTAGTCAAAGAAGCTGCATGGCAGCCAGCAAGATGCCAAAGTCTTTCCTCGATACTCATTTCAGCAGCTTTGTTGAACGCAGCAGTTCACTCTCTCCTGCGAACCTGGGTCACTTGACTTTTCTCTTGGCCTCTTCACACCTCACTTCCCAGTTATTCTCGATTTCCCTTGCTCACTCTTATTCTTCTATCCTGCTAAGCAGTGGAAGGAACCAAGGCTCAGCCCGTGGTCTTCTCTTCTTTTCTCGATCAACACATTTCTCAGGTGTTCTCATCCAGTCACATGCTGGTGAAAGTCACCTATTTGTGATGACTCTGGTTCTTTGTCCCTAACCCTGATCCCTCTGAAGAACCACGGACTGACCTACCTAAAGCTGCCACTCAACACTTTCCTTGTGTTCTAATAGGAGTCTCAAACTTACACCTCCCACACTGAACTCTTGTGCCCTTGAACCTGCTCCTCCCCTGGTCTTCTCCACACGGCAGCTCCATTGCATCACTGGCTCAGGCCACAAATCTTAGAATCATTTGACTCCTCTTTTTTTTTTTCTACCCTACATCAAATCCATCAGCCAATCCAGCTCTGCCTTTGAAACTATCCTGATTCTAATCACTTTTCACTATATTCACTGCCAACCTCCTGGTCCAAGTCATCATCTTTCAACCCGGATAATTGCAATAGCCTCCAAACTGTTCATCTTGCATCTGTCCTTATCTTGCCCCTGCCTTCCCATCACCCCAATTTATTATCAACATATGGATACTTTTAAAGTATAAGTCTGATTATATTAGTGCTTTACTCAAACCTTCCAATGGCTTCTGTTCTTAGTCAAAGTAGAATCCAAAGCCATTACTGAGACTACAAGGTACTGCATGACCTGCCTCCTCCCCTCACTCTCTGATTAATTTCCTACTATGCTCTCTCCCATTTACCCCACTCCAGCCACACACACCTCCTTGCTTTTTTTTTTTTTTTTTTTTTCAATTTACCAAGCATGTTTTGCCTCAAGTCCTTGTACTTGCTATTGCCTCTGCTTGGAATGCTCTACCCCTAGATATCTGCCTGACTTGCAAGGCAAGGAGATAAGGTAGCAAGGTAGGGGGACCAGCTCCTCCAGGTTTTTCAGGGACTGTACTGATTTTAAATGAAAAGCCTTTTATCCTAGGATCTCCTTCAGTTCCCAGCAAATAGGGATAATTGATCACCTAACAAGGGTAGGTGTGTGTAGGGGGTTGCAAGCATTTAATATGTTGGTCACAGAAGGTCTCATGGACAAGGAGACGTTTGGGCAAAAGATTGACAGATGCGAGAGATTGGGTTTGCTATTCCTTAGTGTTGTATGATTCCTGGGTATCTGTGTACAGAATCTGTTGAGCACAGATAAAGGAAAACCTAGTGGTTATCAAAAATCCATCTTAAAATGTTGTTTTTAATGATTGAACTTTTAGATTTTATGAGATCTACAAAGAATAGTGGCCAATGAGGGTTTTGAGCACAGTAAACTTGGAATCTTGGCTCTACCGCATGACCTTGAGCAAGCTATTTAATTTTTCAAAGGCTGATTTTTCTCATTTGTAGGATGAGGATTATAAAAACCTCAAGGATTATTGTAAAGATTAGAAGAGTTATTATATATAAAATATTTTGAACCATTCTAGCACATAGCAAACCCTCAATTATAATCCATTATTTTTTTTCTCACCATGTTTTTTGGGGGATATTGCTATTATTCAATCTAAGTGCTATCGTATGCAGGACACAGGGATAATCAAGACCTACGGATAGGGAGTTATGGAGAAAGAAGGCTACAAAAGAGGGAGTATGAAAAATTAGAGTTAATTTAGATACTTATTTTTATTTTATTTGTTTGTTTGTTTTTAATTAGGTTCCACATTGGGTGTGGAGCCCAACATAGGACTCAAATTCATGACCCTGAGATCAAGACCTGAGCTGAGATTAAGAGTTGGAAGCTCAACCGACCAAGCCACCCAGGTGCCTCTAGGTAATTATTTTTAAATTATTTTTGAGATGACTGTACATTTATATTCAATTATAAGAAATAATAGAGATCCCATATATCTTCTACCCAGTTTCCCTCAATGGTAACTTCTTGCATTACTATGGTACAATGTCCCAAACAGGAAATTAATATTGATACAGTTCATAGTAGGTACTTATTTTGTTACTGAAACTAAGACTGTCATTTTCATGGGATTGAATGAGCAGTGCTTCCACCATGGGTGTGGGGAGGCTGTGGGCCAAAGACGATAGATCAAGAGTCCCTTCAGTGGTGGACTACTTCAGTTGGGGCTGCATCTTACTCTCTTTGCTCCAATCCACTTCATCAGACAGTGCTTCTGATAGGGTCACTTCTTAGCAATGTTCTCTTTTGTCTAGAGTATAATCAAAAGTTCCACTTACTCAGTGTTTACTATGACCACAGGCTCTGTGCTAAATACTTTTCATGCATTATCTCAATCTTCACAAAAGCCCTATAAGGTAGATGATGGTACTGTCTCCATTTTATAGATGATGAAACAGAAATCTAGTAAGGTGAAGCAACTTGCCCAGGTCATATGTCTAGAAAGTAGGAGAGCGGGGATTCAAACGTAGGACAGCCCGATTCCAAGGCTGTTCTAACCCCCTCTCCCCACAGACCCCTCCCACACTCATGACAGAATATAGTAGAAAGAGACTGGCCTATAACAAGTATTGTCTTTCCTTCCTCCATGAATTCACAGTTGAGTTGGGGAGGTAGACTATGAAAACCTACACGATCATACAAGGCAGCACATGGAAAGCACCAATCCAAGGTGCTCCAGGAACCCAGGGGGCAGAGCAGTTGGGAGAGGCTTTCTGTGGGAAGCAGATGGGGGAGATGGGCTGGGCCTTGAAGGTGGGTCCACATTTACACACGCGAAAGCCCATGTGCGGCCAAGCTCACATTCTGATGACACTCATGTTTGATTTCACCCTACCTTCCCACGTCTCCCTCCTCCCCTTTAACCACGCAGCTATGGGTAGACTTTCTTCAGAGTGCATAATAATCCTAAGAGCTAACACATGTAGAGTGCTCATAATGTGCTACTCACTCTTCCAAGTGTTTTACTTATTGTAACTCATTCAATCCTCACAACAACCTGTAACACAAGTACTGCTATTAGCCCCATTTTGCAGATGAGGATATTGAGGCATAGAGAGGTTAAGTAACTTGCCCAAGGTCACCCAGTTAGTAAGTGAGAGCCAGGATCTGTACCCACACTTTGAGTCTGGACACCCTGCTTCTGATCTCGGTGTCAGAAGTCCAGTATAATTTTTGCTTTCCTGCGTGTGAACCTTTACGGAGGTCCTGTCCTCTACTTTGCAAGTCCTTTTTACCCATCTCTATTTAGAAAACCTCGCCTAGTCAAAACTCAAGTTAAATAGCACAACAGCAATCACCATAAGGGGTGTGAGCACTTTCTGAGCAACAAACTTCTGTGATTGGCCAGAGCCCAGTGATCCATATTTCATTTTCACAATGATCCTGTGAGGTGTTTATAAATGAGGAAGCTAAGCCTCAAAGATATTGAATAACTTACTCAAAGGCTGAGGTTCCCATCCAAAACCTAAGTCTGCCTCTCTGTGGCTCATATCTCAAATCCCTCCCCTCACTGAAGCCCTCTTCCTGCCCTACCCAATAGTTATGCTCGTCTCTGCTTTGCACTGACCACATGAATCCTGCACCTATTTAGAAATCTGCACACATGCCCTTGATGAGCTTCTCAGTCACATGCCTCTGCAGCTAAGGGCGGCTCCAAATGGCTGGGGCCACAGGGCACACTTCATAGAACTTATAAACTCTATAAAGATTTTGAAGCTGGAAAGCACCCAGAGATAATCAGACCCACTGCCCATCGCAGGCTGAGTCTCATACAGTGACCCCTGGTCATTTATTCATTCAGCAAGGAATGCCTGCTATGTGCTAGCATGTCCTAAATAATGGGGATATAGAAATAAAGAGAACAGGCCAAACCCCTCATCTCCAAAAGGTTCCATTCTGGTTGGGGAAGATTGACAATAAACAAGTTAAAAAAAAATATAGGGACGCCTGGGCGGCTCAGCGGTTGAGCTCAGGGCATGATCCCATGGTCCTGGGATCGAGACACATATTGGGCTCCCTGCAAGGAACCTGCTTCTTCTCCCTCTGCCTATGTGTTTGCCTCTCTCTGTGTGTCCCTCATGAATAAATAAATTTTTTAAATCTTTTAAAAAAGTAAAAAATATATAGGATATTAAGCATTAGCTATATGCTAAAGAGAAAAAATAAAGGGCAGAAGGGGAAACAAAGAATGGTGTGTGTGTGTGTGTGTGTGTGTGAGACAGAGAGACAGACAGACAGACAGAGAGGTCTTAGGTTGGCCAGTGATAGCCTCTGAAAAGGATTTCTCCCTTAAAGTCTATCATCCACCGTTTGCTTGTATGTATCTAGCTACAGAAAGGTTGTTCCCTTAAAAGGCATTCATTCCATTTTTAGCAAGCTCTGATTGTTCTGAAGTTTATTGAATCTTCTCCCATGACTTCTACCCTTTGCCCTGAGTTCTGCTTTCAGTTACTATACCCAGCAAGCCTAATCCATCTCCTAGGACAGATAGCCCCTCCCCTGCTCTAGGACAGCTGTGTTTCCTTCCAGTAGTTTCCCCCAAACCCTCATAGCCTCAGTTCCTTCAGCTGCTTGCTGAATGACATAGTTTCAATACCTACCTCCCAGGTGGCGGCCCTCCTTTCAATGCACTGCCCTTTATCTAAGAAAGGATCATGGGTTGATCAGTGCAGAATATTCCAGAGTATTGCTCTCTGAATATGGACTCTGTACTACATAAAAACAAAACAAAACATGTTTTTAAGCTCTATCCTACTTAGAGCTCCATCTTCACTGGGAGAGCCAGTCTACCATCTTCAGAAGCTGGAAGCTAGGGGGAGATGTCCTGGAACCAGTGGAGGGGTAAGCCTTTCCTTCCTCAATGGACTTACATTCAGTGGGGGCTCTTACAAGGAGGCAAGAGGGAGTCCAAGCATAATTACTGAAATTTATTGATTATTAGATACATATCTTTTTCACATTTAACATCTCTGAAATTAAGAAGAGCAGCAAGGTGAGGAAGAACCTGCACTAGTTGGTGGGCAGAAGTCCTGGCAAGTAGGTATAACACATTGTTTTGGAAGGGAGCACATTGTTGGAGGAAGGGAGCAGAAGCCAAATAGCTTGTTGTAGTTTTTACTTATCTACTTAATTTCTTTTCTTATGAATGATTTTAAGCATCTTTTTATGTATATAAGAGCAATTTATATTTCTTTTATTTTTTTTAAGATTTTATTTATTTATCCATGAGACACACACACAGAGAGAGAGAGAGAGAGAGAGAGAGAGAGAATGAGAGAGAGGCAGAGACACAAGCAGAGGGAGAAGCAGGCTCCATGCAGGGAGCCCAACATGGGACTCGATCCCGGGTCTCCGGGATCACGCCCTGGGCTGAAGGCAGGCGTTAAACCACTGAGCCATCAGGGCTGCCCCTATATTTCTTTTAAATATCCTTTGTCAAACTTCCAATTAGCTTAAGGATGTTTTCCTTGTTGATTTCTAAAACTTTATATATTAAGGAAATTAACCTCTCGTGTCATACGGTACAACTGCTTTCTTCCCGTTTGTCATTTGGCTGACTACTTTATGCTATTTTTTTCTATGTAGAAAGTTTTGTGTTTTGAGTGGTCAAACATATCCATCTTTTCATTTTGGGCTTTTTTTCTTCTCCTTCTCCTCCGTCTTCATATATGTCATATTTAGGAAAGGCTTCTCCATTCTGACATTATAAAAACAATCACCCATATCATCTTCAACTATTTTTGTCATTTCACTTTTTACATTTAAATCTTTGATTCATCTGAATGGACAGTGTGCCATTCATTCTGGTACACCATTTATTGTTCATTTACTGTATGCCAGGCATAGTGTTCAGCATTTATATACATTATCATATTTAATAGTAATAATTATTATACCAATGGAATATTATGCCAACAGGGATGTTGAAGCTTAGCAAGGTGAGCTTGGACAAGATCATCTAGTAAGTGTCAGAATAGAACCCAACTCAGCCTGAGTTTGATACTTATGCTCTTCACTATAATATTTATAAGAGAGGCATCCTATTGTCTGAAAATCCCCAACTTCATCACCACACATTTTAGGAAAGATTGTTTTCAAGTATGTGATGACTACTGCCCATTCTATGAAGTGTAAGACACCCTGAGGTGGACTACTGATTGTCAGCCAAAGTCACTCTCCAGCTGTATAACTCATGCTCCTGCCTGGAAAGCTGAGGATTCACATTCTTCTCATAGCAAAATTATTAGATTAAGTTAACCAGACAGAACTGTGACTATTAAATCCTTGAATGTAAGAGTCCCTTGAACTTCCCCTGTCATGGGATAGTATAGATCCCAAAGTTTGATTGGGGTCCAACCTGCAAACTGAGCATAATTATTGAAATTTATTGATTCTTAGATACATATTTTTTCACATTTAACATCTCTGAAATTAAGATGCATTTTCTGATCAATGGTATCTTATAATTGCTGCTGGCCAGGCAACAGACAAGATGCAGCAGTGGCTGCCTGCACATATACCAACCTGCTTTAGATTTCTAAGGGCACATATGGACAACAGCAACTCATCATCTTTTCACTCAACAAACAATTTAAGCACCATTTTAGGAGGTAAAAAAATCCTGGTTGTTTTCTGAAATCTTCTGTTGACACGTTCTAAAAAGATTAAGGAGGACCTGTATTAAGATTTGGGGTAGAAAGTGCAGTCATTGGCTTGGAAGAAAATCCTTGGAAGAACTGTTGAAATAAATCCTGCCTTAGGGGCACCCGGGCTGCTCAGTCAGTTAAGCATCTGACTTTGGCTCAGGTCATGATCTCAGGGTCCCCGGATTAAGCCCCATATCAGGCTCTCCTCTCAGCAGGGAGTCTGCTTATCCCTCTCCCCCTCTCTCTCTGACCCTTCCCCTGCTCATGCATTCTCTCTCTCAAATAAATAAAATCATAAAAGATTAAAAAAAAATAAGTCCTGCATAACTGACACTCCTGGTGGCAAAGAGGACAGTTGTGCTTGGAAAAACAAGACATATATATACCCAACCTTGAAATGAAATGTATTTCAGAAGATTGGACTCCAAATGAGACATTTGAGGAATACTTCAACCTATTTATTTCTCTTGTATTTTCCTTCAGTAGTATGCACAATTGATGTGATAGAGTCTGTAAACTTTTTTTTAGTAACTCATAATCAATTAATTTTTTAAAACTAATCTAATCATCACCAATAGTGACTCCATCCTGCATTCCTGGCTTGATACTGATGGAAGTAATTGCTGAACAATCTTGGAAGAAATGGCCAAATCCATGATTGCTTGTGGAGTCTCATATAGAAATAATCCCAAGTCCTGGAACCTTCAGCATGAAAAATTTTTCTCATAAGGATTCTAAGAGTCTTGGTGGAAGACTAAGTCCTTTGACTTTGAAGTTCTTTTCCTGTGTGCCTCCAGTCAAGTCTGCTGACATGTTCTTCAGGGGTTTTCCCTTGTGACCGGTTAGTGTGACTCAAATTTGGTGAATCCCCCTTTCTGGCTCCATGGGTATTTTTCTGGTATCCTTAAAAACCTCCTTAAAAGCCTATTCCTGGGCAAGAGATAGTAGCAGTAAGTCAGGAGCTGCTACTATGCCACTATGTCTTCCTCAAAGAGCTATTAGAGTTCAAAAAGTTCTTTCAGTTATTATAAAATAAAAATGCTAAGTGATATGAAAGCATTGTGTCCTAGTTCTGTTGATGGCATTCCTTCCCTCTTTGTCAGTGGTACTAAGCCCTGGTGCATCTTGTAATCAGTGGCATCTCAGATTGGATGAAATAGGGGAGCTTCAGCTTTGGAGAGGTATAGGTAATAGAGCCAGTTAGAGAAGTACATGAGCTCATTTGGCTGTTGTTTCATAATTCTCATTTTGAATTCAATCTGTAGGAGACTAACTATATCAATGGATCTAATGAATTTCCTATGTTTCTACATTTTGTATTATGTTGTTAAGCAGGGTGTTCCTGTACTTACTTGTGTAACCAGGATAATAGGATTTTACCATGGTCCTTATTAAATTTCATCTTGCTGGCTCTGGCCTGTTATTCCCATCTGTCAAGATCATTCTAGATTATGATTCTCTAATTTACAGTATTAGCTATCCCCTCCTCTAGCTTTCTGCCATCCATAAATTTGATAAGCCCAATTTCTGTACTTTATCCAGCTTGCTAATAAAAATGTTAAGCTAGTCTGGTGCAATTTTGTAGACTCATGGCTGGCATCAGTGATTCCTTCGGGTTGGCATGAATCTACAGATGAAATCTTTCTGTATAGGCATTTTACCCAGTTGTGAGTCCATCCTTCTGTAATATAGTCCAATTTTTAGGCACCCAAGCTTTGATCTCAGAGTAGACCCCTCAAACCCTGGCTATATGACACTGGGCAAATTACCTGACAAATCTCTGCTGTTTCTTCATCTGTAAAATGGGACATTTTTTTTACTTTATAGGGATGGGTTGATATTAAATGAATACTCACAAAATGCTTCACATGGTTCTTGACATATAATAGGCTCTCAATAAATAATAATAGTTCTATCAGTTTTTTCAGATTTCTCCATCTTGCCCAATGCATATCATGAGATACATTGTCAAATGCTTAGGAAAAACAATATAAACTAACTTCATCATTCCACTGTTCTAGCAGACTGACCAAAAAAAAAAAAAAAAAAAAAAAAGGAAATGAGGCAAGTTTAATATGTGTATTCTTTTGTGTGTGTGTGTGTGTATTTTATAATTTATAAATTGACTATTTTCAACAATGGGTTAATACAGCTAAAAAAAAAAAAAAAGGAACATACAGATTTATTTGTAGTGACTCCAAGGTGACTCTTAATGATCAACACTGCATTTTTAAGTGCTTATAGACTTTGTTGACTCTTTCCAAAGTTTTGCTGAGAATCCATATAAAACCAACAATTTTATATTTTCTTAAATCCCCCTTTTTGCCATGTAATAGCAACCAATATTTGCCTATCTCCAGGTTTCCAGTGATTGCACCATTCTCCAGGACTGCTTACAGATTGACATTGGTGTTTGTATGATCACATCTGCAAATTATTTTATTATCCTATATGTATTTCGCAGGATTTGCATAATTAAACTCATTTGAGGCAGCTGGTACTCTCTTATCATCTCCTCATTTATTTTGGACTTCATTTCCTTATAACTGCTGTTGTTCTGTCCTTAAGAGTAGTGGTTAAAATCTTTAGGAGCACCTGGATGACTCAATAGTTAAGCATCTGCCTTTGGCTCAGGTAGTGATCCCAGGCTCCTGGGATCAAGTCCCGCATCAGGCTTCCCTGAGGGAACCTGCTTCTCCCTCTGCCTGTGTCTCTGCCTCTCTCTGTGTGTCTCTCATGAATAAATAAAATCTTAAAAAAAATCTTTAGAGCACATCACAATCACTTAGGGAAGCAGAGCCTGTTATAAACACACATTCACAGCCTGCTCCCAGAGATTTAGGATTAGTACATCTGGGATGGGAGCTGAGAATATACATTTTAACAAATATTTTGGGGTTTTTTTTTTAAGATTTTACTTATTTATCATGAGAGACACACACACACACAGAGAGAGAGAGAGAGAGAGAGAGAGAGAGAGGAGACACGGGCAGAGGGAGAAGCAGGCTCCATGCAAGAAGCCGGATGTGGGACTCGATCCCAGGACTCCAGGATCATGGCCTGAGCCAAAGGCAGACGCTCAACTGCTGAGCCACCCAGGTATCCCATTAACAAACATTTTGATGTATCACCCCGTAGAAACACTTTACATAGTGGAAAATTATGGGAAGTTATTTGGTAATTTATGATTTTTTATAAGGTTCTTATGCAATATTCTTATGTTCTAATATATGTTAGCATTACGTATCTCTCCCAAGAATTGATCATAGTCTTCCCTGGTTGGTCATTTTAGTCTAAACATATATTGTAAAAATATATGGGCCAAAGGCAGGCACTAAACCGCTGTGCCACCCAGGGATCCCCAAAGCTGGTGTCTTTTAAAAATAATTCTCGGGCAGCTCTGGTGGTGCAGTGGTTTAGTGCCGCCTGCAGCCCAGGGCTTGATCCTGGAGACCCGGGATCGAGTCCCACTTTGGGCTCCCTGAATGGAGCCTGCTTCTCCCTCTCCCTGTGTCTCTGCCTCTGTGTCTCTCATGAATAGATAAATAAAATATTTTTAAAAATAAAAACAAAAATAATTCTCTGTGAATGAATAAAGGAGACGTGGTGTGTGTGTGTGTGTGTGTGTGTGTGTGTAATGGAATATTATTTAGCTGTAAAAATGAATGAGATGTTGTCATTTGTGACAATATGGATGGACCTATAGGGTATTGTGTCAAGTGCCAGAGAAAGACAACTCCCATATGAGTTTATCTATATGTGGAATCTAAAAAGCAAAGCAAAACAAACAAAAAGACCCTTAAATACAGAGAAGAGGGGTGCCTGGGTGGCTCAGTCAGTTGAGTGCCCTACTCTTGGTTGTGGCTTAGGTCGTGATGGAGGGGTCATGGGTTTGAATGCTGTGTTGGGCTCCACACTCAGCACAGAATCTGCTTAGGATTCCTTGCCCTTCCTCTCCCTCCCCTCTACTCCTCCCCCTGCTCTCATGTGTTCTCTCTTTCTCTCAAATAAATGTATAAAATCTTAAAAAAAAATACAGAGAACAAACTGGTGGTTGTCAGAGGGGTGTTGAGTAGGAGGATGGGCAGAGTAAATAAAGGGGGTTGGGAGGTATAAACTTCCAGTTATAAATAACTCATGAAGGTAAAAAGTACAGCATAGGGAATATAGTCAGTACTATTGTAATAACATTGTATGGTGACAGATAGTGACTACACTTACTGTGCTGAGCACTGAGTAATTTATAAAATCATTGAATCAACATATTATGCACCTGAAACTAGTAAAACTATATGTTAATTATACTTCAATAAAAACTTAAAAATAATAAAGTTAGTTGTTCTTGGCTATGGGCCATTCCTATCATTGTTAGCGTGTGTACTTTAACCAGCTTGAGCTCATTGAGGTGCCCTGTACAGAGTTCTATCTTGATTCCTCCAGATGCCCATAGGATAGTAGTCTATACCCTGGTGGCATTCAACCAGTCTTCACTGATAATGAGATGAAGGCTGTGGATAACAGAGAGAAGAGCAATATGGCTACTTATTAGAATGCTTATAGGAAACCTGACTAGATAGTGGCAATATACTGGTGCTCTGCCATTTGGAAGTGGCTGAGGTGAGAAGGGGTGGATCTGGACCAAAACTGAGGCCATCCAGGCTTCTGAAATTGCTGACATCTGACTTCCTTTAGACCTCTCCCCTCATGCCCCCATCACACTTCTTCTTCTCTCTCCCCTGGATCTTGTGTACACTTTCATTATTGCATAGTTCACACGGTATTTTGGCTGTTTGTTCACGTCTGCCATTCATTATATTTTTGCAAAGTCAGAAACCATGTCTCCTTTATTGAAAACAAAGAATGCAAAACAAATAAAGGAAGAACCTGTACTTTACATTCAATGAATATTTGTCAAACTAAGCCAAGGATAAGAAGTATTTGACAGGCATGTCATACTCCCGGTCCTAGTGTTGGGGCAGACATTGCTAATGGATCTTAGAGCTCTTCCTTCCTGAGCTAGAAGCAATTTCAGGGTAGCCCAGGTGGCTCAGTGGTTTAACGCCGCCTTCCGCCCAGGGTGTGATCCTGGAGACCTGGGATCAAGTCCCACAGGCTCTCTGCATGGAACCTGCTTCTCCCTCTGCCTGTGTCTCTGCCTCTCTCTCTCTGTCTCTCATAAATAAATAAATAAAATCTAAAAAAAAAGAAGCAATTTCAATATTCTTCAAAACATGGCTTTCCCTTAAATCGAACAGAAGTAGCTTGTAAAGTGAAACCTATTCGCCAATTTTAAACAAAATGTAAGTTCCTTTCTCTTGTAGTTCAGTTGTTAACTCCCTTTGTGGAATAAAAGAAGAAAACTCACAAATATAAATTAAGCACTTAGAAATTCAAGATGGTATGATGAATACTAAGGGAAAATACAGAGAAGAACATTGGAAGGAAATGAGTAGCCAGCATCTCACAAAAAGCAGGTTTCTGGGTTTTCCAGCTTCTGAGACTCTAGAATTATACCAATGATATGATAATGAGAATGATACTAAACTTAGGCTCTCATCTCATGGGATTAGCAAAGTTTGAACCCTTTTAAGTAATGGTTCTAACATACCACTGAAACAGGGATTTTAGTTGGATCCAAAATCAATATGTAAGTTGAGAGCCCTGCCTTCAACATCAGGAGGCAAGGGCAGTATTATTTGTGCTAAAAGAGAGATAAACAAAAGCAAGACCATCTGGGAGAATTTTCTTCATTTGACTCTCTTCACTTCCCCTTCCTTCTATAAGTATCATTTGAACCCTAATTATTATCTGTCACTTATCAATCATGAAATTTCCATTTTGTTCTGATAAAGTTCTCTTTTGTGTATCTACATTAACCTGTCAAAAGTGGGGCTGCTCTGAAGTAGAGCCAGACCCTCTCTGTCTCTTTCTCTCAAACATGGCCACTATACTTATTTTCTCTTTTAAGTTCTTATTTTAGAACTCAGTGATACTGAGAAAAATACCCTCTTCTCTTAACTCTTAGATTGAGGGCTGAAGGACACAAAGGTACATTTAGGGTATTTGTAAGCTCTG